GATGCATCAATTGGTCCCAACTACCTGGAGTAAAGGAGAATGAAGAACACCAAAGACACAAGGAAAGTATTATCTCAAGAGACAGAAGGGGCCACATAAACCAGAGACTTCATCGGCCTGAGACCAGAAGAACTAGATGGTGCCTGGCTACCACCAATGACTGCCCTGACAAGGAACACATTAGAGAGTCAGTGATAGAGCTGGAGAAAGCTGGGGTGCAGAACTCAAATTCTAGGAAGAAGACCAGACATAATGGTCTGAGACTGGAGGAATCCCAGTAAGCATGACCCCTGCATTCTCTATCAGCCCAGAACTAAAACAATTTCCGAGGCCAACTCTTCAGACAGAGATTGGACTGGACTATGCGACATAAAGTGATACTCGTGATGAGTGTGCCTCTTAGCTCAAGTAGATACAAGAGACTAAACGGGCAGCTTCCATCCAGAGGTGAGATGGGAAGGCAGAAGATGTTAGGAACTGGTTGAATGGACGTGGGTAATCAGGGGTGGAAAGGAGGACTGTGCTGTCACAGTATGGGGAGAGCAATTAGGGTCACATAACAATGTATGTATAAATTTTTGTACAGGAGACTAACTTGAAATATAAACCTCATTTAAACTACAACAATAAAAAAAAAATAAAAAAAAAGAACTCCAGCAAGAATTTAATTTATTATGAATTGATGCATTTCTTGAGTTGGCATCACAAGATTTTTTTAGGTGTCAATTCCTCAGGGATATAACTGGAGGAAAAGACTATAGTTTAACTGTTAACCCTTTTTTCCAAGATAATATAATACAAAGCTGGGATTTTATTTAATTAATTCCATTAAAATCATGTATTACTTTGCAATTATAAAGATAATTTAAACAATGTAAAAATACACATGGTTGTTTTACAGGAACTCTAAATGAAACATGCTATGTAGATGAAGAAATAATTTATTTACACTTGCAAGATTAACAACTATTTAAGGGATTATTTTTAAAATACCAGTAGTAGTTCATAAGAAAAGAATTATACTCAAATAGAAAATAAAATGTTAAAAAAATGGTGCTTGCAAAATTAATCACAAAGACTATGAAATTACTGAAAATTGTCTGTAAGAAAATACACATAGACTAAACTAAAATCTAAGAAGTTTCTTGAATACAACCAAAAATTCAAGGGACAAAGTAGCAATGGAAGGGGTCTGGGGACCATGGTTTCAGGGGACATCTAGGTCAACTTGCGTAACAAAGTTTATTAAGAAAATGTTCTGCATCCCATTTTGGTGAGCGG